GCTGCACCCGTTGAACCCACTTCAGTTCTTTGCAATTAGCTTGGGGTTCAGCCAACCACAAATCCTTGCGTGCATCTGATTCTTGTCATAGTGAGTGTTTCTGCTATTACTACATTTTTTTGTTCATGACTGCTCTTATCGGTCTGAATAAGAAGACGGACGTCATGATGTTTATGTTGTGGTTCGTGGCTATGAAAGTATGGTGATTGTGGTTGCACTGGCAGTCACGAGTGCGCTGGCGGTCGCGATCAAGTTGATGTAGGTGACGGTACTTAAAGGATCATGGGACTTAGTAAATAAGGTTATAAGTGCCTTAATTGTGGTTATAAGTATAGTTACCTTAGTTATAAACCTACTCACTCAGTCCCATGATCCTTTAAGTAGTGACGATGATGTCAATGGAGTTGATCATGATGGCCATGCTGAGGATGGCAGTGGTTATGTGGATAGTGATGGTGCTGATGATCGTTTTTTCTGTGTTGCCCATCGGCGCTGATGATCATTAGTAATATGGGGGCCTAAGTAATTGCCTATATATTTTTTTGGGGGTTTTATCATTATAATTATAGTATAATATATCCCAAAACCCTATTCTAATTCTTAAGGCCCCAACATTCGTCGTGCGATCATCGCAGGACATGGTCTTTCAGGAAGATCAGCCAGTGCAGGACCTGAGTGTTCTGTTGCGCACTTCGCAGTCTGAGAAGATGATCGAGCCGAGGTCTGTGAGGTCGTCCGATGTATGAGCAAGTACCACTTTCGCTGGGCTGCCGTCTCAGTGAAGCGTAGGGTTTAGGGTTTAGGGTTTAGGGGTGTAGGGGTTTAGGGTTTAGGGTTTAGGGGTTTAGGGTTTAGGGGTTTAGGGGTTTAGGGGTTTAGGGTTTAGGGCCGTGCCTAGAAGCGTTCTTTGGAGGATCCCTGCTGCCTTTTGTGTTCGATTCTGCACTTAAACCCGTGCATGCCAACGCCAGCTTGTGATCTGGAAAGCCCGAAACCCGAAACTCTAAGCCCAGGTGGTGGTGCAATTCCGCAGTGGCTGGGCCCTAAGTGTGGGGGGAGGTAATATAGGGGCCTTAATGCCTATACTATTTTGGGGGGTTCCTTATGATAATTAGAGCAAAGTGGGCCGCACAACCTTATTCTGATTATCAAGGCACCTCCCTAAACCCTAAACCCTGAACCGTAAACCCTAAACCCTAAAACCTTATGGGCGAAGGTAAGGGGGAGCAGCCTGGAAGAAATCTTCACAGTAACAGACCCAATCGGCTCGCAGCGTACACGGCAGTGGTAGCCGTCGTCGTCGAAGGTCGAAAGGAGTTCTTTGACTACATGGACTTGTGCCACGAGATTGCAGCGCCCTGAGAAGCAGCAGCTAGGGTTTACACTCACAAATCTTGCATGTCGGTAGAACCCTAAACCCTAAACCCCGAAGCCCTAAACCCTAAACCCTAAACCCTAAAAAAAAGCCCTAAGCCCTCAACCCTAAACCCGAAACCCTAAACCCTAAACCCTAAACCCTAAACCCTAAACCCTAAACCGTGGCTCAGGTGACAAGGGCGAACAGCCGTCCTCGGCTCAGCTGCTCTGCAACTTTGTGGTCGCAGCTCTTCACCGGCCCTTTAGACCACTCCCAGGTCTTAGGGAGGCCCCTTAAAGGGGGACCTCTGGGGTTTAGGGTTTAGGGTTTAGGGTTTTAGGGTTTAGGGTTTAGGGTTTAGGGTTTAGGGTTTAGGGTTTGAGGGTTTAGGGACCCTTCTTATCCCTACTTGTGGCTCTCTTGAAAGGGACCTTGTTGACAGGGTCCATACCCCCAGAGTCCCCCTAATAACTCCTACCCGCATTCCGAACCGAAATAAGTGGCGCCTTGGAGGGTAGCTGTCGAAATCATAGTCCGCTTGGGGGGGCTCTATATAAGTCTATTCTTACTCCGGCAGCCTATAGTGCGGGAACCCTAAAGCCCAAACCCCAAAACCCTGAACCCTATAGTGCGGGAACCCTAAACCCAGAACCCTAAACCCTCAACCCTATAGTGCGGGAACCCTAAACCCAGAACCCTAAACCCTTAACCCTATAGCGCGGGAACCCAAAACCCAAAACCCAAAACCCTGAACCCTATAGTGCGGGAACCCAAAACCCAGAACCCTAAACCCTAAACCCTATAGTGCGGGAACCCTAAACCCAGAACCCTAAACCCTTAACCCTATAGTGCGGGAACCCAAAACCCAAAACCCTGAACCCTGTAGTGCGGGAACCCAAAACCCAGAACCCTAAACCCTAAACCCTATAGTGCGGGAACCCTAAACCCAGAACCCTAAACCCTTAACCCTATAGTGCGGGAACCCAAAGGGGACCCTGGTTTTGACAACCGCCCAGGTGGAAGAATCACTTCAGACCAGGCCAAGCAGATCAGTCGCACGTCCGTCGGAGGGCTTACTTTAAGGATCATGGGACTTAGTAACTAAAGTTATTATTAGGATTATTTATACTTATAACTACTTATAACCCCAATTAAGGTGCTTATAACCATACTTACTAAGTCCCATGATCCTCCAAGTACCCTTGGATAATGTAGGAACCTGATGAAAAAATCCATGGTTCTTTATCAGGGTTCTTTACTTTGAATCCTAATGTTTCGGATTTTTAGGGCCACGGTTTCTTGATCAGGTTCCTACATTATCCCAAACTCTAAACCCAGCTTTGCTGCTGCGGAGCTGTCTGAGGTTGGAGCCGGGACCCAAGCGCTTCCACATTTCCCCCTGTGCAGGGTTTGAACAAAAACGGCTCTGAGGTGTTAGCCAACTGCTCCGGCTACTCCGCCTTTGTGCCCCTGGCCCCAGCCAGCCATTGCAGGCTTCGTTTCGGTTTAGGGTTTAGGGGTTCGGGTTCGAAGCTTCAAAGCTGAATCTGTTCTGACCCTGCAGTTGCCGCAGCTTCCCGGGTTTCGAAATCGGGGCGTGCTACTTTACTTACGGGTCGTTATAGTAAGGATCCTGCTGATTCATGGTCGATGTCAGGGTCTCTGAGATTTTCTGAAACTCCCTAGGCTCACCCCTAAACCTAAAGCTTGAACTAAGCCTTAAGCCCCAAACCCGTAAACCCTAAACCATACCTAAACCCTAAACCCTAAACCCATACCCTAAACCCTAAACCCTAAACCCAAAACCCATAAAGGCCCTCAACAAAAAAACCCAAAACCCGACCGAATGTGTTTCGTTTCGCCGCGTGCAAGCCGAATGGGGCAGGAGTGGCCGGTGCCCAGTCCAATGCACATGAAAAAAGCCTTAAACCCGTAAACCCTAAACCATCCCTAGACTTTAAGCCCTAAAACCTAAACCCTAATATAGGGGCCTAAATAATTACCAGTACCATCGCTGGGCTCCCTATTATATCTTTCGTATACTATACCCCAAAACCCAGTTCTAATTCTTAAGGCCCCCATGTTAAGCCCTAAACCCTAAGCCAATCATGGGCTACACAGACCGCCACGAAACCCTAAACCCTAAACCCCACACCCTAAAGCCTAAACCCTAAACCCTAAACCCCACATCCGAAACCCTAAGCCCTAAGCCAATCTTAGGCCGACAGCCGTCACCTCCTCCTTCGAGAGCGTCCTCCAGCTGCGTCGGCCCTGGAGCACAAAGCGGAGGGCTCCTGTTCGGGCTTTATGAATAGGGTTTCGCTTAGGGTTTAGAGTTTAGGGTTTAGTTTAGGATTTAGGGTTTAGGGTTTAGTTTAGGATTTAGGGTTTAGGCTTTAGTTTAGGG